GTAGATGCAGGTTGAAAATAAAGGAATTATATTTTAATATCTGAATCTCTTAATTATTTTTAACCTTTTAATTGTATAATCATTTAGCTTAAATGATACCAGTTTAGACTATCTATATAATTACACTGAATCTTATTTTTATACCTATAAAACACTGTGCTCTTTGAAGACATGTAGTGTATGAACTAAAATTGTGCTTTTATATTGTACATGCATATTGATTCACTTTAATGCTTTTGCATGATACTTTTTTTTTTTGTGTAGTGCCCCTCTCCCCCCTTTTTTTTCTTAGTAAGTGGCTTCATCCATGTTGTCATCACTTCCTCCCCCGTAATCATCACCGTCTTCAAAGTAGCTTGCTATGTAGTCATTTTCCTATGGGGGGGGGGGGGGGGAAACAGTCCGATCATGCATCAAGTGCTTTTAGTGCTCTGGAATTTCAAGTACATTTAAGTAAGTACATTTGCTATTGATTATTCAAACATGACTGTCATGCACTAAAATACTCTGAGCTGTCAAAACAGTTGCACTAAAAGAGTTTTCCCAGTAACTGAAAACCATGTTAGATATATGCAAGCAGGTACTAGGGTTGCACATTTGACTGATGATGTGACAGGAATGCCATAAGATATGTTAATAGCATATGTTATGTTGTTAAACGAATACCACAGAAAAATAAATAAACACACACACACACACCTGGGGGTATTCCAAAAAGCAAGTTATGTGACATACCCGGGTATGTTTGAGGAGAAGCGAGCGGATAACCTCAGCTTTCGGTTCCAAAATCAGAGGTTACTTTCAGGGTATGCAAGTAACCACAGTAACTTGCTCTCTCTCAGCGCACGTGTGATCTACTGACGAGCCTTCAGAGGGCGTGACAGATAGCGCACAACATTATTTAATATTACAATATGTAATACAGCCTATTATGTATGCATATATATATGTGTGTGTGTGTGTGTATGTATGATATGTTAATGATGAAGCGCTAATATAAGTAATAAGGTAATATTATTCTAATATGGTTATATTTATTTTATTGGCATTTATAACAGTTATCTGTATAAATTATAAAACACGTATGACAAGGTAATGTTTAATTTATTATATTATATGAAGAGTTTATTTGCAAAAACAGATAATCTCGTCTCATCTCACACATGGATTAAAGATTAAACGGAAAAAAAGAAAAATGATTGCACAACCATCAATTAGGTGGCGATATGCACCAAGCATGTAAATGACCACTGAACAATAGAAGAAGAAAGAAACAGCATGGCACGCTTTTTCTTAGCGTTCGTTTCCATAGTGACTCGTCGAGTCGTTGCTCTGTTGAGAATGTCTTGAGTCTTAACCAGGAACATACTCTGAGTTGAATGAACTTACTCCCGGACGTGTTTTTGGAACCACATACCTCGAGTAAGCAAGGTTTGGGGTTAATCAACCGAAAGTTCAGGGTTTAGCTGACGGTAAGTTAACCGTGCTTTCTGGAATACACCCCCAGCTCTAACCAAACCGACCAAAAATAAATAAATAAAGCCTAAATAAATGACACTAAAAATGGCTAAATAAATTGAAATAAATGGCAATAAACAAAAAGCTAAATAAATACATGGCAACAAATAAATGGCTAAATAAATGGCAATAAATAAATATCTAAATGGATAAATTGGAATAAAAATGTTTTAATGGCTTAATAAACAGAAATGAATGGAAATAAATTAATGGCAATAAATAAATGCTAAATGGCTAAATAAACACAAATAAATTAATGGCAATAAATAAACGGCTGAATAAATGGCAATAAATAAATGGCAATAAAAATTTCGAAATAGCGAAATAAATGAAAATTTAAAAAAAGTCAGAATGGCTAAATAAATGACAATAAATAAATGGCTATAAATAAATGTCTAAATTGCATAAATGAATGAAGAAATGAAATGAAATAATTGAATGAATGAATTGAATTATATCAAGATTGAGGAAAACGATATGAAATTTGGAAATATCCTGCCATAGAACAGATGTCACCCTTGACCCCCCCACTCAATATACTATTCAAGATTTCTGATTACATGAAGCTTGTTTGTGTGTTATTGATTGCGCTGATGCATAAACTCTAAAACCACATGTGATTAATGACAGTTTCACATCGACTGTAGTTGAACAATTATCTCCTGACACACTGACTTTGGCTAAACTACTGTATTTTAAATTATAATTCGAGAAAAAAACAGAGTCAAGTTCAGTTATTACTTTGACTTATTAGAACACTATCTTTAAGCTACTCAATGCAACAATCTCAGAACATTACATACAGTCAGGTTCCCCGATGTGAGCCGTCAGTGATCAAAGATGATGGTAAATGATAATGAGGTCTTTCCTCTTGACCTCTGGCAAACAAAAATGGCAAACTTCATCCATCTATGGTTTGCTAAATCGATAGACCGGGACATTAGAGCTTTGATGAAGTGACCAGGTCAGCAGCCCCATCAGACCACCAGCTGTGCATTACTCTTACCTAGTTTAATTCATTAAACAAACAAATTATTATTATTATTATCCATCATCATTATTATTCTTATTATTGCCAATAGGCTTTACTTTCCAATACAGTCTACTGCATGTCAAATGACTGTTCTCTGAACAAATGACTTCTAGCTTTTTTCTTATGCCAACGTCAAACAATGGCATCTAATTAGAGGAAGACAAAATGCCCAGAACCGAATAAGACCTCATCAGAATGAGGCTAAACGAAGTCAATGGAAAAAAACAACAGACTACAAAAACAGTTCCTTGCTTTTCTGAAGTTGAGGAACTCTTGAAACATCTGCAACAGTATTATTCAACCACAAAGTATGCACGTCATGATTAAATACTTTAAAATTAAGCACACCAAATTAGCATGCTAAATTGACAGCCCTACTAATTATACAATAAATCACATTTATATTACACCCGGTCGGTTTTCTCAAGTGTCTGCTTTTCCAGGGTATTGTAATATCGACACAGCAGTCAGACAGGTGTCTGTTAATGAGTCTGAGCAATATTCCTCTTATTAATTAACCCTAAACATTTCATACTAACAATGCTGCTAATGAGCATGACTGCATTATGACAACAGGCTTAGGAACAAACAAGCCATCAATAACAATCTTTTTAAGGGCAGCAACTCTGTCGGAGTGCGTCATAATGAATATTTCATGAAAATAATCAAATGCCACTCACTCCAACGAGTAGCTAAATACGAGTAGCTCCACACATCTAGTGGTGTGCAACAAACTGAGGTCTTTTAAAAACTTTCGGAGATGTGCAACACCTCCCTCCATTGATTAGTCCAACCTACTGTATATCAGTACACTGCATATCTGTATACTGCATATACTGTATACTGCATATCATAACCTACTGTAACTCATCTTAAATCCCAAAAATACAGCTTTTTTCTTTGTCTCAGCAGAGTCAGACCGCAAGAGTCGCTACGTAAACTCTTTAGTGATCCGTCAAACGGAATACGATTTTCAATTATCTGTCTCCAACTGCTGCAAAAATGAAAAAAAAAAGTTTTCTAAAAAACAGTTCAGTGCACATTCAATAGACACTGCGTAAACAAACTGAAGTGCTAACAGTCTGATTCTATGTTCTTCCCTTCACATTGTATTTAGTTCTGCGCTGAAGTGCATTTGTGTAATCAATGCGAGCACTGTCCTTGAGTATTAGTAGCAGCTGTTATCCACTGTAGCTCAGGAGAAAACTCCAAATGAAGACATGTGTGCTTTACTTTTTCATTCCTGTTTTTGGCGTTTTGGTTTTACTACTAAAACTAAAAAGCATTCTGTGCATGTTGGCAGCAAAACCAAAGCAAAAGGAATGAAAGTATAAAACGCACTGGTTCTGAAATTAATGCGGGATGCTACTCGAAAGAAATTAAGGAATTTGCTTCTCAAAAGCTTTTTACTTCCACAAATTAGGCCAGATGAAATTTAAGCTTGTACAGCCTACTGTCTCATATTTGATACACAAATGTCTAAGGCCTCCAAATTATTAACATGGTCAAAACTTTACTGATGTACACAATCGATTACATGTCTTCAGTTTATACTTTTATTAAGCAAATAAAAGGCCTTTTAATTTGTAAAAACGTCCACCTTCAGGTTGTGGTTCACGTGTCATACAAACCAAAACAAAAGGGATGAATGAACGTTACTGAAAAACTTTCTTTCTTACCTGTATGTTGTTAATACTTGATTTACAACTGTAAAACTGCTTATCTAGTGACCCTGTTTGACCCCCAATTGTCTACACCAGTGTTTCTCAACCAGGGGGCCTGGACCCCTAGTAGTCCTTGACATAAGGCCAGGGGGTCCGTATAAAGTATGAATTTTTGTATACATTTTGACATGACATGTTCCCATGAAAGAAAAATCCAATATAGCTGATGATATGGCCAAATACTGGACAAGTCAGCTAACTTGAATTATACTTGACTGCATTTGGTCCTCACAAAGACACAAATGATACGAGTCAATTTTGTTCTGGGGGTCCTTGAGGATGGTTCTGAATTGGACTGGGGTTCTGAATTACGCCAAAAGGTTGAGATTCGCTGGTCTACACCATTAAAAAACACATTTTATAGAGCATGTTTACAAATCAGACTTCTATATGTGCCATTATCAATAATTAGACCGATCTGCCCTGTAGTCAAATCCCATAACCTGATGCCTGACGTCAGCTTCTAGGCCCACAAGGAAGAAAAATGACTAATGAGATCCTCCTAGACAGAAATGAGATTAAACCGGAGGTTATAATATGTTTCTCCTGCGAAAAAGACCCCAGTAATCTCACATGTGTCTGATGATTTGAGAAGAGATCTCAAAACCAAAGTATGTGATCTCAATATGGGAGAAACGTTTGAAACAAAGTTGATCATTGAAATATAACTGAGAAAGCATTCCTGTAAAGCAACCGTTAACCATCATAAAAGGAGAGAGATGAACCTGACAGCAGTTTTCTCTGTTGCTTCTGGGACATCTGAAGAGGGAAGCTCATCCGCCAGGATCTCTTCTATTCTGCGTGGATCGTCTGGAACGTCGCTCTGAACTTTGACCTTCTCCTTCTTGCACGTCCCAGCAGTGAGTGTGTTCCATAGCGCACTCTGAGACTTTGAGCCTGGAAATCAGATGAATGAGAGTCAAAGAAAGACTTAAACCCTTTGATAAACAATGAACAAATCCCAATCACTCTCAGGATTTTTTTTTTTTAGTTTTGTTTTTTTTAGGGGTACTACAGCTTGTCACTGGGACAGAACCCTCAAAGGGACACCTTTGTACCTTTTTACCCCTATAGAGTTCATAATAGTACCAGTGACAAGCTGTCATGCTATTTTTTCAGTATACTACTATCTAAAAACCAACACATTATGTCTTTGTCTGCCACAATATGACAATCTATGATCCCCCTTGCCCCCATTTCTCCGTTAATAATATTGCAAATATTACTATTAATACATTTAATCTCAATTTATTTATTTTCTTTCATATTTTATTGCACTACAGCATTTTATGCATTATTATTTGCTTTATTTGTACTCACTTAATATGCACACATAGATATGCTGCAAATATTTTAACAAGGTACAAATCTCAATAATCCCAACAATATGACAATCTATAATCCATGACTTTTTTTTTTTTGTTACACTATAACATTATGATTTATTTTTTGCACCTACTGTGCACACACACAAAAAAATGCAAATGGTTTGCTGATTTGAAAGCATTTTTTAATCAATTCATAATGAAATTTTAACATTTTATTTTAATTTTTTTGCAGTGTTCTGATTCAAAATAACAGTAGTGGCATCAGCAGACCAAAATTCTAAGACTAAAAATGTACTTAAAGCCTCCTCTTGGGAGCCTAATGGCTCAGTTGTTGATTCATAGTAAATTATATTGATTTGCTCCCACCAAGCCTGTGCATATCATTATCATCATGAGCTCATGCACTCATAATGTTGTTATTCAGAAGTAATCTCTATGCCATCTCTGAAAAAATTATTTCTTTGGATGCAGTATTATCCCCAAATTAACTCTTGAATATCTTGATAGATGCTGCCATCTAGTGGCATGCCCATGTAACGTGTAATGCCTGTTAAAAAAACCATCAGCCACCTGACTGGGTAATAATGACCAATATTGAAGTGAAAAAAACTAGTCCCAGACCAAGGCCTGCACGAAAAAATCATTGCTGAATTCACTGCGGCAATCATGTAAGATATTCAAGTTTTCTCTGGTGTTATTTTAGTATCAATATACCATTATAGTTTCTCTTAATATTTTTTTTATTGGCTTTTTTCTCTTTTCATTTCAGTTTTAAAGTTTCAGTATTTGTTGTGTTTCGTTATTTTTATTAGTTTTTGCTTTCTAAATGTCTTTATTAAGTTTTACTTTAGTTATTTTAGCACTTAAAAACGAAACAAATTAGAACAATTAGAAGTTTTTTATATATAATTTACGTATGTATTTATGTTTTTTTCTTTTACTTATAGATAAAGGTAATTACTTTTTACTGCTTTAAGTTTTCCAAAACGCATTAATATTAGAAGTTAAAAATATGAATATGTTGATGATTTAATGAACAGAAACTAAGATTACAAAAGTCACATAAAAGTTTCAGAGAATCTGTGGGGTCTAAAGACTGGTTGAGATATTGAACTTTTGTAAAAGTAATAAATTGTGGATTTGTATCTGGATCTCTTAGCTGAGATCCAGATTAAGCCCATGTTTATGTGGTCTAGAGAGATCTTAAAGGGGTCATATGATGCTGCTAAAAAGAACATTATGTTGTGTATTTGGTGTAATGAAATGTGTTTATGCGGTTTAAGGTTCAAAAAACACATTTTCCAAATACTGTACATTATTGTTTCTCCTCTATGCCCCGCCTTTCTGAAGCGCGTAGATTTTTACAAAGCTCATCGGTCTGAAAAAGCGAGGTGTGCTCTGATTGGCCAGCTATCCAGTGCGTTGTGATTGGCCGAATACCTCAAGCATGTGACGGAAATGTTACGCCCCTTACCATAATGTGATGCCGTGTCCCGGCCGGAGCGACGAGACAAAAACATTAAAACCCATTATAAACGAGGCATTTGTTGCATCCAGTGGGGACATAATTATGGATTATAATGATTTATACTGTCTTTTTACGCGTTGCATCGCGCTGCATAAACATAAAACCATGTCTGCATTTGTGATCTGAGAAATGACAAACAACAAGCGCTACTCTACGCTGCTCAAAACCCGTGTCTGAATCGTCAGTGGCAAATTCTTTAAACATAAAAATGTACTTGCAGTCTTTGAGTCAGAACAGCCAGCATTGTAGTTACTCTCTCAGGATCAGGAAATAGTCCTCCATAAAATGCACAGCACACATCTGAATATTTGGGTTGAACTGTTCTGGAACAGTGTTGTAAAT